GCCAGCATCACCCAGGACCACCGGGCTCCGGAGGCCAGCCTCCCCCCCGGCCCCCACCTGGCATGCCACACCCTGGACCCCCACCCATGGGTATGCCACCCCGAGGACCTCATTTCGGGTCGCCCATGGGTAAGTGGGTGCCTGCAAGAGGCGGTATGTGTTCTTTTCTCTCGCTCGTACACACTTTATCGAGTTCAGCGCTTGCTTCGGCCCCGCGCCCTCCCTCGTTCCTAGCTTAACGGGGACGGGAAGGAGGCGATATCGCAGCCTCCCTGCAGAGAGGCGTCTTGGAGCAAGACCTGGCAGCTGCGAGCCACTAAGCCAGGGTCTCCCGGGGCTTTCCTCGTGTTCGTCGCGACGGGGAAGCTCTGCGCTCTCTGGTGATTCCCTCCCACCTCTCATGTCAGGATATCAACCTGGGCTTTGCCGACAGGGAGGGTTCCTGAGACCTGTGGTGTCCACCAGCCGTGGGGGGGTTCCTCGCAGAGCCTCTGGTAGAGGGGGAGCGTTGGCCCCAACCATGGGTACCAGTAGAGCTGGCACCCAAGGGTGGGCTTTGGGTGGGGTCCCGGGGTGCCGCCGCGTGGCCCCCTGAGGGGCCCCCTGCCCTGAACACAGCAGTGGTAAAACCCCTGCCCTGCTGGGCGTCCTTCCCTCTCTGTCCTCAGACTTTCATTTCCCCTTGGACTAACGTACCCCCCGCACCCAGGAGGGGCAGTTGGGTCCCTCCCTGTCGCAGCTCCCCCCTCCATCTTTTCCTCTCCCCATCTTTTCCCCCATTTCTTTTTATAGTGTTCATTTTGGTTACTTTTCCCCTCTTCCTTCCGTTTATCTCGGCCCTGAAGTTTTTTCAAGGTACTTTTAACCAGATTTTTTTTTTTTTCTATGTAAAGCAGTGATCACCCATTTACAAATAAAACGTTTTAAGAACCAGGGATCGTCCCTCTGAGATGGGGATGAGGCTCTGCCTGTTTGTCACCAAGGCACTGATCAGCTGCTGACTGCTCTCGCCTTGGGCACGGCCACGGGGACGCCTGCGATGGAGTTCATCGGCACATGAAAGCTCTCTGCCGATACCGATGCCGCCTGTCCGTCCTGGTGAGGCGCAGAATTAGGGTTAATGCACCCGGTCTCTTGCTTTATCCAGGCTGTTTGTTGGTGGACGATGGGCTCCGTGTAGTCCAGTAAACCTGCGGTGAAGAAAACGTACGATAAAGCCTTGAAGTCCATCACCTCCTTGGACACTCATCCCAGAGAGCACAAGTAACCAGGCAGGACGTTCAGAGGAGTAATTTGGCAGTGAAGCTGATTCCTGAGTCCCTGCCTCGTCCCTCTCCACCCAGGGCAGGGACTTTAGAAATGAAACCTCCTTGTTTTGATGTGACTCACATCCAGGGGAAGCCATTATAGCTGTGGTTCTGGGGATATTCTTAACTGGGGGGGCAATAAAATTCAGGTTAAGCAGTCTGGTTGGGAGAGGAGGTAGAGCAGATCTGGGTGACGTGTTGTCTCCACGCTTCCTGGGGCTGAGTTGCCAGAACCGTCCTGCCTCTCCTAATGAATTCAGCGTCTTTGCGCCGGCGAGACCGATAATTGGGGAAGTATAAAAGCGGAGTCTGTGGATGGAAGGTTTCACGCCTTCCCCAGCAGTTGGGAGGGTGTGAGGAGGGAGGGGGTTCGGCTTTCTGCAGAGCTCCTTAGGGGAAGGCAGGCGAGCCTGCAGTGGGAGATAGGGAGAGAGCTGTTGGCTTTGCACAGACGAGGCTTTAAATCCAGGTGATGTAGAGACAAAAAAAATCAAAGCTTTTCCAGGTATTTGGCCACCTGGGGTTGTTCTGTGGCTTTATGCAAGAACCAGGGGACATGAACGGGAGACTGTCGTGCTTTTTTGGCTGTTGTGACTCCTCTTGGAAGGCTGCTGTGGCTCTGCAGAGAAAAGCTGCCTTGCTTTTGGCCTCGATTTTACCCTTTGCTGGTTTATTTCTGTTTTCTTTTAACATCCTAGGGCTAAAACTGACCTTTAGCTCCAATCTCTGTTCACCCTTGCGGGCCAGAGGGAAAGAATGGCGCCGTGCTTCCCCTTCTGTCGTCGCAGGGTTGTTTGGTGAGTGAGATCTGGAGAAACTCAGAGCCAGGTTGGGGAAATGGCGCAGCTGATCTGTGAGCTTTGCTTCTCCTCTGCTCGCATTGCCTTTGGCACACGAGTGCAGGCTCTGCGAGACGAACTGGAAGAGCTCTGAGCTCTGCTCTGTAATTATTCTGCTTTATCAGAGGCTGTCGTAAAAGTAACATCCGGGCCGTCCGCAGATTTTGCCACTGATGTAGGTGCTCGTGCTGCTCCTTGAATAGACATCCCTGCTCAAATCCAGCCTTCTTGGGCACAGCTCAGGACTGTTGGAGGAGAGCTGGGCCTTGCTGTGTTGTGAACAGTTTCCAGGACTGCTCCTAGGCTGTGAGGGGCTGATCCTGACCAGGCTGAGCTCCCACTGAAATGCGGTGGTGATGCGCTCAGCCTGACCTTAACCCCAGCTGTGGTGAAGGTTCTCAAGTTTATACAGGGGGATGCTGAAGTCCAGAGGAGGAAATGGAGCTCATGTGGGGTCTTCCAGCAGCCCCGGAGGCACCAGGGTGCTCAGTGAACCTCTGTGATTTCATTAAACCGCCCACAGGCCTTGGCTGTCTCTGGTCTGGGCCGCTCCAGGGCCTGGGACAATTGCATCAGTTCAGCCTCCCTCCGAGGAACGTGCCTTGCAATTACTGCTGGATTGTGTCCAGCCTGGAGCTGTTCCACCGCGTGCTGCTCCAACGGTAAAATTACGGAAGGAGCCCAACGCAATCGTCGTCTCGCCTTGGGCAGCGGGGAGGTGGGGAAGCTGGCCTGGAGTCTGTCTGTAACTGGCTGCGGCTGATGGATGAAGTGATGGGGCGAAGCCCTGGCACCGTTTGGCTCCAGTTCCTCCACCTCTTCTAGGAAGAAAATTGAGAAGCGGCTTCACAGCTGCTGCTTTAAGGAGCGGAGCTGAAGCGGGAGGAGAAAACTGGGCTCAGGTGTAAATTAGCAGTAAATTGTTTCTGGTTAAGAGGCCAGAAGCTGGGAG